ATATATAGTACTTACACAAACGTCCCAAAATATTCTGACTCATTGCCAGTGCTGCACCTTTGGGTAAAAATGATTTTGTATTCAATATTATTTTTGGCTTAATATTTTGAGTTTTTTTCTACATATTCAACAACAGAAGGACCTGCTCATAGCGTTTACATACCAGTATTTTTACATCATCAACATACACCTTTGCTCAGCCTTAACAGCAACAACTGGATCGATGATACCTTTGTGTAGCAAACTGATTTCATACACAAACAAACTGTCTCTGGATATCTCTGTGCAACAGTGAGGTATTATTCAGCCTTATTCATACATTGTATAATTTGAGTTTTTAAGCAACTGGAAGATATCATAAATAACGTATAGTCGTTACTGAATTATGTTTGCAGTTACATTAAACGTGTGTTGGGATGATTGCCACTGAGCAGGACTCAGAAACACATACGAGATCATTGAAAAACTGAACTGGTGAAATTAATGGGTTGCATTTATCAACAGACTTCATTGTCCAGCTACATGTACAGAATACTCATTCTAAATGCCCCATTTTTAACTGAAATATTGTACATTTTAAATTTTAAACCGATCCCTGTGTTTGTTTTGAGTCAATGTCGATGGTCTAATTTCGAGTAATGCGTAGTTGGCACATTTGTAGCCGGGTAAAATGTGTGATGATGGTGATCTTTGCAAAAGAAAATAATAAATTATTGTTTTTTGGTAAAACATTGCTCAGGATCATGGTTTTTTAATTTTTTTTATTTAGACATTTGTGGAAAACCAGAATCTGCTTCTAATCTGCAGTTGTTACGAGGTGCTTGAACTGTGTAGGGAAGCTTTCAGCTGGGGAATGATGAACCTTGATCATAAACTTTACACAATACTAAACTCAGCGGATTTCAGCACATAAATATTGTAATTAAATGAAGTTATTTTTCTAAGTTTTCTTGCGGCTGGTGTGAACAGTGTGAAATTTAGCAACAGCAACAGTCTGTGCTGTTCCTCTGAGAGACAATGGATAAAGAAGAGAGGTGGTGTTGGGAAATAGTGGCGTCGAAAAAGTGAACAGTGCAAAACAACAGTAACACAACTACATCAAGTCACTGACCAGTCTGGTGAAATAACACAAAATGACTTGTTCACTGAGCACACGTTCACCACATATCTCCTTAAGAGTGACATTTTTTTTCTCCCCTCTGTGAGTATGTTAAGTGATTCAACAGAAGGAGATTTCAATTAAAAAGCACCTTCCACTTGGATGGCTTTGTGTTCATTAAAATGTACCAACCACTTAATCATTGCTATGGCCTTGTCATATGCAGGGGAGAGCTTCTGGGATGCTCTAGTCTCCGTATTATCTGAAGTTGTCAGTGTGCTATAGCTGAAATTGGAGTGTCACGGATACGCCACCGCCTGAAGACTCTTCTGTACTTCTGTGTTTCCATTTCACTGAAAACTTGGTTCCTTTTTATATTTGATCAGTTTCTTTAATGAAACAAGTCTTTCTCCTGTTTTCTTTTGAGTAGAAATTGTTCTTAGTTTCCCATCGGCATTATGTCTTGTGTTTTTGTAGCCAAGCATTTATTTTCACTCTTCTATGTATGTCATATTTTCACATTTTCAAACTGGCCTTTGAAGGACTCCATCCAACTCCTTGCAAGACAAAAAGGCCATTGTTCAGGCTGTGTTATATAACTATGAAAGCACTTTCTACCAACACACACTACTTCATTTACATACAATACTGTTTTATAATTCCAAGGAATCACATCTCGTGTGACTCTAAGGTTGTGCTCTATGTCAATGCCTTCCATTTCCATAAAAGTCTGTGGCACTTAAAAGCATCTCCAATTATACAGCGACCAAACATTAACATCCAAGTTGGTATTGAAAAGTAGACTCCTGCCGTCCCCCGAGCCCATTTGCTGTCCCCTCATTTATTAATTCTCTCAGTCTGTACAGACAGAGACCATTTAAATGCCAATGAAAAGCCACAGAAGAAAAAGCGGTGTGAATGGTATCAACTAACGCCTGAACTAGCCCGAGTACTTGCTAACTAATTAAGTTCATCCCTGAGCCCCTGATAGACCCAGTCAGGTGTAATTAAAATCGAGCCTGTGACAGCCATGGCATTTGTCAGAGCTACCCAGCAGTTCAAATACCAGCACTGACAGAAATGTCAAACAGATATCAGTTGCTCATCTCCTCTTCAGCGCTCCACACAAGCACAGCACATTGCCTCGGTTATAAATGTTTGCTGATAACCTTTAGGATTCCCTGAACAGCAAAAACTACAAATTCTCTCCCATTATTCATCCACGGAGGCCCATATTTATTGACATGCTGATACACTTGACATGTGATGGTGCTATCTACTTCATAGTGCCTCCTCTCCCTCCTAATCTCAGAGGCTCGTAACAAACTGGTAATTGCCTCGGATCATGCGTCTCTCGATGTCACTTTAGAAATTGATGGCAGCTTTGATCTTTGATATCGGAACTGCTGTGTTGTAATAATTGGCCCTATCGTGCCAGATGTAGCGGTGTGTGTATGCGGGTGATGTGGACAGACTGCTTCTGCTGAGCCAGCTGTTCTGAATTTATATGCCTTAATCAAGCAGAAGACCATAACGAGTCCGTTGATAGGGAATTATGGGGCATGGAATCACTTAACACCTCCCAAAGTCACTATGCTTCATCCTTAAGGGAATAGGGGATGAAATTCCACTGCTATCCATCCAATAGGTGAGATATTTCAGTCTGGACCAAAGTAGGGGAGCAACCAACTAACCAACAGGCCGGCTGCCGTTCTTCCAGCCAATGCTACTTCCATGGCTAAAAAAAGAACAATGTTGAAAACGTGTCTGTGAGAGAGACCTTTGGACTTAAATGTTAAACACATTAAAAATGCACAGTGGTGACATTTTTGCTCAGATATTCTTTCTTTACATGTACTATGAACTTTGGAGGCTGCAGAAAAGTGGAAAGCGACGGCATGTGTTGATCACTTCAGACTCCTCATATTGCAGTGCTTGAAAACTTTCACTAATGCCTACAGTGGTTGGTGGTGCAGAAAAACTCATGAAAACGCTTCGAGGGCCTCTGCACTTTTAGTTATGCTTAGTTCACTCTTCATTTCCAGCATCACAAAACTGTGCTGGAAAACCTGGTTCATAGCCAAGTGTTTACAGCCGACTGTGAATATAACACGAAAGTTCTACAAGTTAATAGTTTTAAGGATTAGTTTAAAAGTCTAATCTTCTGTTGTCTCACTATTTGCTTCATCAAAACTCTGTGAACACAAACTCTCTGCTGGATATGTTTGTGTGTCATTTTTGGCAGAGATCTTTTATTGCTTCTGTGAACCATTTGGACCTTTTTTTTCTTTTCACACCCCCTGCTTTATGTGTCATTTGTTGTTTCATTTTCACCCCCACCAAATGCATTAGGGGACCTATTCAGCAAAAACCTGTGAATATTTCAGAGCATAATTAGAGCTCTAATTACAATTCATTATTCATAAAATGGGTAAACCAAACTGCAATACTACTGCAAAGGTTCCAAACCTGTACTATTTGGGTCACAATTATATATGTTATATATGTCATATATTATATATATGATGTTCCCAAAATCATATTGTGTTACTGTTAGCCCAAAACGGGGATAGGCTCGCTAGT